AGAACATAGAGAAGACAAACTTGGTGAAATGAAGATGCCTTGCCAACAACAATATGTATCAATCACAATCAACAGGAGGATGTCAAAGACAGGAAAGGAAAGGGCCATTATTATCCTTAAATCAGTGTGGAACTCTGCAACATTTTTAGCATATGGAAAAAATCCGAATTTTCAAAATTGCTGTCAAATCACTTAGTTCTTCTTTATGATTCAGGGATTTGACGCTTGTGTCAGCGATTAATTTCTAACAGCTTGCTGACGAATTTCATCAACAACTCCCTTTTTTGCATACTAAAGATCGGATGACTTGAAAACAATAACAACAAGGGACAGTGCCATTGCAGAGAACCAACCAAAACCTATCAACCAACAAATATTCTGAAGGAAACGAAGATGGACTCACGATAAACTTGGGAGAATTTCGACTGAAATCACACGCGAAGTAGGCCGCCGAGTGGAATTCAAAAAGAAAACGAGTTTGACGTGGGTAAGAGTAAAATGACGCTCGCCGACCATGCTCATGGTCCGGGATTCGATCCCCGGCCACCGACGCACTCCTTTACCTCGTTAAGCCAGAAATAAAGTTGGTAGAGAGGAAAGGTTAGGCATGAGGCTAGCAACCCCATCCTGCAAAATGAACACTGCTACAGGAACTTCAAGCCACTAGCTTGAAGCCCTGTGTTCCACTGGGAACGTGCAGGAAGAAGTCAAGTGTGAGGGTGAAATGATGGAGATTGTGTAGAGAGGAAATGAAAGGTTGTGGAAAATTCTAGAGCCAAATGTAAAATACTGCAGAGAACAGAGTGGAATGCAGATATATTGATGCATTCCTAAGCTGTACCTAGAAGCTAAGGGGATGATAACAATTATCAGTCTTAGTTTCACTTGATCTCTCGGCTGACTTTACCACATTACTAGCTGATCAACAGATAAAATGCTAGTGTACTTGTGCAAATATACACACTTGAGCGTATTACATCTAAATATGGCATAAAAAAAACGACAAATGCTGTGAGATGATATCATTTCGTAGTTTCTTTACCAGTGCTTACAACGTTAACGGTTGACAATAATCAAATAAAATGTTTCGCAATCGATCAGTCAGATAAAATAAAAGTACACATCAATAATCAGTCTCATTTTAATAGGTCAAGTAGTCCATGGTAGGCAAAAATTGAAGCCTATTGCTACGTCTATTAAATATAGTTAAATAAATAAAATTTCACCATCTTAATTTTACGTACCAGTGAAAGTTGAATCTCTCTGAAACGGCTAGTTGGCCGTTGGAAGTTTTCAGAACAACATACTTGTCAGTGGAAGAAATCGTACCGCTGAATTTAAATATTTATCAAACTTTAGGAGGAACTTATTCGCATGAAATCAGCAAGTGTTGGCACTCAGTGGTTTGATTGATTTCAAGTTAAATCACAAACTGACATCAGTTAGAGAACCACTGAAAGCTAAGGAGTGTTGATCAGCTGTGTCGTTTTAGTTTAGGATTATTCAGCGGTATTTATCTATGAACCAATCAGGGATCACACTGTAGACCTTTAGGCTACAAGACAATCTCGTTGACCACTTGGTCACTGTGACGGGATCCAATAGCCATGAATTCTCACTTCCGCCAATTATTGATATATGGTACCACTACTAGCAGATGTCAAAGACGTATAGATTTAAAGATAAGTAATAAAAAGTGGTTTGTTTTTTTGCTGACTTATGTATTCTTAATCACATCATATGGGAATATGAATTCAGCAACAACATTGACAACATTGATTTTATGGGCATTTGATACAGAGTTGCTGCATATGCTTCTTTGTTAGACGATAGTTCCTTTGGCTAAAGACTTAATTTATTTTAACTTCGAATATCACCTTATTTTTTAAACATAAGTCTACCCAAAAATAAGGAAATCTACATCAATTTCAATGCCGTTTCTAATTTCACTTCCATTACTACCCAATAACAGTCTGTCAATAATCCACATCTATCTCAGATAATGTTACCATCATTTTCATAGTTAGCGAAGGTAATATGAAAACAAAACTGACATTTTTATTCGGTTAATAAAAAGCAAACTCAGTGTTACTGATGTCTATCACTTCTTGTCTGAATGATGAATACTGAACACTGTAATAGTTAACTACTTTACCCATGACTTCATATTCTGCTTATTGGTAAAACTTTGAATCTTTCTATTGGATTTGTATAATCATAATCGTATATAGACTCGAATCCAGGAGTGGAAATGAGTTCTTTCAGGGTTGTAGATACATCTTGCTGACGGATGCCAGAAAGCACAAAACTTAGCTCCATGGCCTCCTGTCGATCACTTCCAAACGTCTAACACATATATTTGGAATGCACTGTGATTGTAGGCCACCTAGCTTGGTGACCACATTGTAAAAAAATTGATTGACAGAATTCAGTCTACAGCAACCTCCGAGGACTAGACGCGTAATATTGGTTACTCCTTACTGACCAATCATTGTATCATTTACAGGAGATCAATCGATGTAGGAAATGTTTTAATTATCAATGAAATTAAATCTATAACTCTTAAAATATATTTTTCAAAGATTTTGTGGCATACAGGATTTCATCACGAGCTGACATTAGTTAGAGAACCCATGGAAAACCTGGAAGTACTGGACAGCTGTTTCGTCCTGAATAGGGTCCTATTCGGGCAGGTAGTTACCTGGGGTTCTAGTTAGAACTCGTGCCCAGTAGGATGCAGCAAGTCTGGTGTGAGGACAAATACTCGCCGAAGACATTGGGTAGGGGTCACGCTATGTCGTGAATTGGCAGAAGTTAGAATTCATGCACTGGCCATTGGATCAGTTCCCAGTGGCTTAATGGTCTACGAGCTCGCCTTGTAACCAGAAGGCCATGCTGATGAAGAGTTTCAAACTAGGACGAAACAGTTATCCAGCACTCCCAGGTTTTCCAGTGGTTCTCTAACCTATGTCAGCTCATGATGAAATCCTGTAACCAATCAAATCCCTACAAACCAACAATTTTCTGGCTTAAGTGAGGACCAGTTAAATTCTGATAAGTTTACTAAAGTGTAGTTGACGGATTAACGCACGATAAAGATATCCTGATGAAATTTTCATTCTTCTAAGTGTCACTCAAAAAGGGGAAAATATTTAGACATTGTAAATGTCACTTTTAGAAAAATCTGAGATTTGGGTTGTATTCCTGTCAAATTATTCTAATTCATACCAATGATGTATGCTCACGATATATATATATATATATATATATATATATTGTGTAAAGAAAACGAGACAATATCTTCACTTCATAACCTATTCAGGAATAATCGATCGACTGGTTCGACGAAAACTGGGTATTCAGGCGCTTTCCAACACAATAGCATGAAATTATATGCGTTTAAGCTAAATAAAATTTTTTTGTTTCCAGATTGCAAAACAGGATTCGTTCAGTGTAATTTATTGATTTGAGAACGATTGCTTTTTCTAAAATATCGCGCAGACTAACACTAAAATCATTAGTCTTTTGAAAGTAAGACATCTCTCATAGGAAAGTTATTTCATCCTTAGCATAACTGAAAGATAGAGTCTGATATAATGAAGATTAGATATATATATATGTCTATATTTACTTATTGAGTGAGAATACAGAATTAGGTTTTCGTATAACGGATGCATAAAGTGTATGATAAGAAGATGAACTGAGAATAATATACAAGTAATTCAGAAACTCATCACGCTATATACTACCGATTGATCTGCATGAGTAGTTGAACATCATTCACATCAAAAGCTGGTTTGCCAGCCAGATCACAATGATCTAATCACGGGACCATTGTTTTACCCATTCGGCGGCTACGTTCATGAATGGTGTACCCAGTTTGACTTAACTCATACAACCAAATGAGTTCAAACCACCCAACAAACTGATAGAACGTTAGATCAGAGACTCATCGTCTTACAGACAGAATGTGGTAGTAGTAAATTATTTTATTTTATATTTTATTTTGATTACAGCTTGATTCCACACCGTATTTATGGTACAAGTATGGAATTTTCAGCATGGATATCGGTAGCCCAAATTTTGCAGGTCGACCATTGATATCAGGTGTGCATCGGCAGGGGATCGGACCTCGGACCCTGTGCATGGTCGGCGAGAGTCCTAACCACTGTGCCACCGACGCACATTTGAAAATCATTTAGGCAAAAGTGTATGAATAACCTTACCTCGAAATGGTATCAGATAAAGGTGTATTGTCTAACAAGTTATATTCCACTTTAAGAGTCGTTCACACCTTGTGTGCGCTCGCGCGCTTCCTGCCTTTTGTAGGGCATACTCTAAACCATTATTTCACAAAGTGTGCATGTCACCAGTCTTATCCAACTAATCACAGCTTAGCGATTCACGAAGTTTAACTTCTCTCAATTCTACCAGCATTATTCTTATTGGCTTTCTGTTTTTGACCACTTAGTGTTCCGAGTGAAACATACAGCTTCATGTTTGACCTTTGAAGCTTCAGTAGCTATGGTTTACTAACGGTTAGCAAACTAAGCTAAGCTGGGTTTAGGAGTATGTCATCTAGAACCCTGAGTTAAGTGCGTAGTTAGTGAAAATTCTCATATTGATAATATAAAAATCATCCTACCTCTGTTATCTCATGCAAGCAGAATAAAATACATTATACGCATGTATTTTTTTTCCTTCACGTTCCCAGTGGAACACAGGGCTTCAAGCTAGTGGCTTGAAGTTTCTGTAGGAGTGTTCATTTTGCAGGATGGGGTTGCTAGCCTCATGCCTAACCTTTCCTCTTTACCAACTTTATTTCTGGCTTAACGAGGTAAAGGAGTGTGTCGGTGGCCGGGGATCGAATCCCGGACCATGAGCATGGTCGGCGAGCGTCCTTACCGCTATACCACCGACGCACATACTCATGTATTTATAAAAATTAAAATTTCCGAAAATCAGGGATTCATTACACTTTTTTATGTCAGTATACTTACCGGCTGTATCAAGAATTGAAACGTCTACATTAGTACCGTATAAATTAATTCTTTTCACATATGAATCTGATTTAGTTGGTTCATAGTCTTCAACAAACTAAACAAACTGATATTATATACAACTGAAATTAATCTTACTTCATCGTACATAAACTGTAGGGTTAATGCACTTTTACCAACATTACCACTGCCTAACATACAGATATGCAGTTGGCCAATGGAATTTGACATTGCTTTTTTTTTCTTCTTGTTATCTCTTGGATGTCAGTTGAATTCACTATTACTATTGCTTTGTGTATTCAATAGATACACAAAAAAGTGATGAGATTTCAATGTTAATTCTCTTGTATACGACAATAAACTCCCTTTCAATTTGTATATCCAGATAAATGTCTGTAAAACAAATAGAAATATGAAGTCATAAGACTATGTTATGACGCTGTTTGTGTATAATAATAATAATAATAATAATAATAATAATAATAACAATAATAATAACAATGTTATTTCAGTAGTTTGCACATGACTAAAAATCACAGGTTAGACTGAAGTGGGTGGCTAAAATATGTGTGGCCTATTATCGCAGATGAAACTTGTATTATTATCGTCGTCATCATCATCAACATCATCATCATCATTAATTATAAATCTTGAGGGGTTCTGAGTGGAACACACAGCTTCATTGTATCCTGTTCTGTGCAGTTCTCTCTATCTGGCTCCACAATTGCCGATAAGCTTTCAATTTCTCTTCACGCGATGTCTGTCTTGTCACCCTCGGATTCCCAACTCATCCTTCGCTTCCTATTCGAGTTCCACTAGACGATCTGTTTTGAGTGTGACGCTGATCATTAGTCTTCTTAGTGTATATCCAATCCAACTCTATTTCCTTCGACACATTTACTAGGCGATAGGTTCTTGGTTGGCTCGAAGACAAGATGAAACCTGAAAAACTGACTAATTCATGGCACATGGTATAAGTCAGAAAACGTGGCTTACTTTCATTTCGATAACGATAACTTTTAACTAGATTTTTAATCATGAATTCTTTTGAGGGTGTGCATAACCTATTATAAGTAAAACTTATTTTGATAAAGTCTCACAGTGTTATACAGTAATGTTTATTGATGACGTTTCGAGCACAATTTATTGCCACTCATAAGTATATCAAGGTAATCATACAACTTCCTAACTTCATTTATATAGCTCCATTATTTTCCATCGTTTGACTTGATTGGTAGTAGTATTTTCTATTGAGGAAATTATTTTAGGAATTCAGTTATACCTCACATCTACTATCTTTAAATTCCAGGATAAAATATATAAACAAACAGAAGATGTAGCAACGAAATAACCAATACCCCCTATCGTAGCAGATATCTTTATGAACAGTTGGGAAAATACTGCTCCTAATACACTTAATCCTACTCCAAAAATATGGTGGAGATATGTGGATGACACTTTCACAATGTTAGAAACAGAACATATCTCTAGCTTCTTGACACATATAAACTCCTTAGTTTAGGAAATAAAATTGTTATTTGAATCGGAAAAGGAGCAAGGAGAATTAGCTATGTTAGATTTCAAAAGATAGCGAATAGAAGGTAAACTGCACATTAGCGTTTATAAAAAACCAACGCATTCTAATAGATATTTAGGCTTTAATTCATCTTATCCATTGTCTGTAAAAGTAGGCTTAGTTAAATTTCTAACAAACTGAGCAGTAGCACTAAGTAGTACAAGAAAAGACCTAAATGATGAAATAAAACAGATAGAAGAAGCGCTGGTATCAAATAACTATCCAATAAAATTCACAGGAAGATCAGAAAAGGTTAGAAGCAAAATAAAAATAATGATGAAAGCAATAATGAAAACATGAATAAGAGAGAATATAAGGCATCTACTGTTATACCATATAGGGAGGAGACATCTGAGATCCTCTCTACGTAGGATTCTGAATAAAGCACGAATTAGAGTGGCATTTAAACCCACAAACTCACCCAGGGACAAGCCCTGTAGGGTAAAGGACCCAGTTGACCCAATTAGACAAAATAATATAATTTACAAAATACGTTGAAATGGCTGTGAATGAGGTAAACTACATAGGTCAAACTAGTAGGTCGGGGGTAGTCAGATTGTCGGAACATAAGAATTTAACCTAGGTAAGAATGGTTGACCTCGAGAAGATAAGTAATTTAGAAAAAAGCTCAGCAATGGCACTGCGTGCATTAACATAGTTAGGTGGAGAGAGAGACAGATTGATTATTGATTACTGGTTCATCGAGTCTACACCCAACACATGCAATAGGAATGACTCATCACTCATACAAGAAATATGAAAAATACTATTACCAATCAAGTCAAGCGATGGAAAATAATGGAATTACATAAATGAAGTTAAAAAGTTGTATGATTACCCTGATATTATTACTAGTGGCAATAAATTGTGCTCGACACATGGTCATCAGTAAATATTACTGTGTAGCACTGTGAGACTTTATCAAAATAAATTTTGCCCATAATGGAATTATACTCTACCACACTGCACAAGTTCCATTCTTATATCAATGATGCGCATAACGCAGTCAACATGAAATTAAACTATAGTTATGCACCAAAAATCAGTTATTTCACCTCAATTAGTGAACATCACTTAATTTAAGCTTAATCATTATTTCTTCAAACTATCCAACCACATACTCTGTTGTCTTTTACTCTTAAACTATTACTTAACATAACAATTTTAGCTAGCTCACATTTGTTTTTGGCAACTTTCTACTCTGCTGCGTCTTTCATTATGCTTGTCAAAGTGAAATTTACCTCTTACTAAGTTACTTTTTTTAAAAAGTGGTTTTGCTCCGGAATTCATTTTTTGAAAAGTACTAATGTATACGTGTGAGATGAAAGTAGTCGTGAGGTGTTTTCACGCATACTACAGCAAACATAATAATAAATATTCCAGATGTGTGAAAAAAAGCTGATAAAACACATCTAAGACAGTCAAACATAACATCTCATATGCTAACAACATTCTACTATGCACGCTATGCAAAATCACATGAGACCAAACTAGATGTAGAAATTTAAATCGTATTTAACAGCCTCCATTCTACCCTCTATTCACAGTTGAGCTGAAAAGAAAATGAGGCAAATTTGTTTTGCTAAATCTTAAATAATTACTTAGCATTCAAAGATGACTAAATTGTACGCCCAGGCATCTCAAGAAAAAAAGTATCTGTCACGTTGGTCACTCTACTTTTTTAATGAAGCGTGAATATGAAAAGTGTGGAGGGATTAGTAGTCTTTTATTGCCAATGTAGTTATTGGTAAAACTTAAGGCCTTCAGTTAAATTTTTCAAAGTGTTCAGAAGGTGAAATTCTTAGAAGTTTCTAGAAAAGACTAAGCACATGTCAAGTAAATGATTTGTTCTTCAGATGACTTTAGTTTAATTTGAGAATTGTGTCAAGATAATGAAGAAATAGTTTGCTCTTTTTTATTCACCAATGTAATATCTTGTAAGAATATACACCTTATTTTTCAGGTTTTTGCATATATTTTCTTTCAAGTTACCTAATACGTTTCAAACAAAGTTAGGATACTGAAGCAACTTGTTTGATGGCGGCTAGGAATAGAATCCAGGACGCAGGTCTCATCCTTTTTAGGACTCATCAGATGAATTCACCGGCTCCCAAGTAAGTTGTAGTGTAACAACAGAAGACAAGGGTCAGGCAACAGATCGTTTATTAAAGAAATCAACACATATTTATCGATTTTCATGTACATATTATAGATTATTCTTACCAGAAAAACACAGTCTTCTGATTGGTTGTTTTTCTCACAGAAACTGTAACTGTTTCTTGAATGCCAGATCATCTATATGTTAACTGTATCCGCCTACGCAAGGCCTTTGTTCTCATTTTTCTCACGACCAATATTGGGGACATAAACATTAACGCAAATTACTGTTCACCAATTTTGACTAACAGCCAGCTCTCATCACAGTGGTGTTCCCTTTTGTGAGACTTAAACCTAGCACTTATCTTCTTGAACAAGCAAGCATAGTTCATTGGGATAAGGATCCATATCAGCCACCTTTCATTCATTCATTTCACTAGTGACTCGCCTTATCCAGGTAGGTTCTAGTGAGAAGTTGTGACCAGTAGGGTGCAGCAGGTCGGGTGTGAGGACAAATACTCACCGAGGACATTGGTTAGCGGTCACGCTATGTCGTGAATTGGCAGAAGTTAGAATTCATGCACTGGCCATTGGATCAGTTCCCAGTGGCTTAATGGTCTACGAGCTCGCCTTGTAACCAAAAGGCCCTCGGTTCGAACCCTAGCGGTGGGTGCGTACTGCTCGAGGGTCCCAAACTAGGACGAAACAGCTGTCCAGTACTCCCAGGTGGTTTTCCAATGGTTCTCGAACTAATGTCAGCTCATGATGAAATCCTGTAACCAATCAAATCCCTAAAGCCAACACTTCGATAAAAATTATTCACAGATTCTTGTAATGCCCCGCTGACATATCTGGTTCAAGTTAATCAGTCTCATTTTGACATTACTAGTATTACTACGACTGTCAACTCGAAGTTATTTGTTTAGTACTGACTGCAGGGCAGGTAAATTCATCTAACGAGCCCCAAATAGGACTGCAGTTTACTGCTTGTCACTAAGAGGCAAATAATTTTAAGTTAATAGCCGTGGTAATATTCAGGCGTCCATCCACCCAGCCGATATGTCAACGGAAAATCACAAGTATGAACAGAGAATAATTTGAAAACGTTTTTTGTCAGTCTATAAATATCTTCTTAACGAAGTAAACATAAGCTTCCCATTAAAGGTGAATGCAAATAGCTGGAGTCTATTCAAAATAAACGAATAAACGTCTGGAGAAATAACACGTAAATAGTGGAAATTGGCTTTGACAATTTGACCATCCTGGGAAATATATAGCCCACCTAATTTACAAAATACAGACACTCATAAATCAGTTATCTATATAATTTAACAGTTATTCGCAAAATGGTAGTTTTAATTTAAATTTATAATTGAAAATTGAAAATTCAAAGAGAAATGTCTCTATGTTATGTTTTGATAATGTGTCAAAAAGGTAGGAATTCAAGGCGTAATCTATGTATCTTTTGTAAGTTAATTGGTGGATGGTGATTAGCAGTGAAATCCAGGATGTGCATCTCGTCCCAATCGGGACTCGTCATCTGGATGCACCTGCATTC